TCAGATCTCAGCCTCCTGAGTAGCTAGGATTATAGGCGTGAGCCACCAGCGCCCGGCTTTCACTCGCATTCTTAATGAAGTTCTGTGTAAGAGTGTGAGTGTATGTGTGTGTGTAAGAGAGAGAGAGAGAGAGAGGACCCTTTTGAGTCATAGTGTCCCATGTTCTCTCTTTGCATTAGCACATGATCATTTTTAACCTTTCACCCACTGAGCTTGGCATTTAAAATGCTGAAAACTCAATAATGTTTCCTATAACAGCCTTACAGGGATGAAAACTAATTGGAATGACATTTGTAATACGTTCCTGGTTCTCAGGCCTCTCTCTATACCACCTTAACCGACACTTGCAGAGAGGACCTGAGTAGTTGTTTGGTCCCTGGCCTGAGGTCAGGAAAGGATTATGAAATGAACATGGGGTGCCCAAAAGGTTTTGAAACAAAGCACACAGTGGATTTTACCATGGATGAGAAGGATCCCTTCTTGGCTACTGTGTTTTCCTTGCACCCCCTCCCCCCATTTCCTAGTCTCTGTCCTTTACCTCCTCTTCTTCCTCCCTCCCTGGCCCACCCTCCTCCCTTGTTTACTAATGGGCATGATGAATTTAGGCGCCGAGCCCTTTGTCTCTTTCTCCTCCTTCAGATGATGGTGGAAAGCTTAGAGCTGGATTTGTGGCTGACTGAGATGATGAGAGCACTTCTCGATGCATTTTTACACTTCAGCCCCATGCCGGGCTCCTTCTTGCTTTTGGTACACGTTTTGCTGGTTTGGTTTTCTTCCAGTCTTCGTTGCCATTCTGCGTTACGTGCTGTTCTGTGCACATGATAAGCTTATCTGGTATGAGTTTGTAGGAGATTAAGTTAATTGCCGGCTTTTTTGCCTGGGAGTTGTGAGGTCTTGTCCTTTTCGGTGCCTCAGGTTTAACTTCTTCATCTAGGAAACAGGGAGAGTGAGCAAACATTTAAAAAGGATGCTTGGCTAGAGTTGGTTTGGGTGGAAAAATACTGGAATGTAGTATTTTTGCCTTAATTCAGGATCCTAGATCCTGTTCTCTTGGAGTTGTACTCAGAAAACGTGTGTTAAGCATTCATACTTGGTTATGAAATTCTACAGCTGTCTGTAGTGAGTTCATCAAATGGGTACTTATGAGACACCTACCATTTGCCCAGCACGAGAAAACAGTTACACAAAGTACGGGTGCGGGCAGGTGACAGGCCCCAGGTCAGATGACTGAACACAACTCTGGCTCTCCTGCGTGATTGCGCTGTCCATATCACGTGACAAGCGCTTGTTGCTGAGCCAGCTCTGTCCTTCGCATCTCTGAGGCTGTGCACTGATGATCAAGGCAGAAGTGCCCCCCTTCCCTGGAGCCTCGCTTCCACACGGGAAGAGGTCGTCTACACATGAAGATAAATTCCCTTCCTGGAGCTGCATACTTGAAGGAGAGAGTTTAATAAAGCTTTGTTTTGTTTTTAAGTCCTGGCTGGCATGGAACACACATTCAGATGTGCCCTAATACAGTCAGTCCTCTCCATCTATGGATTTGGTTTGGGGGACTTTGCTTACTTGCTAAAATTTGTTTGCACCCCCAGAGATCAGTACTTGGCTTCTGTTGTCATTCAAGCTGTGCACAGAGCGACGAAGACCTCTGGTCAGCCCTCACGCATGCTCAGGCAGCGCAAGGCTGCGTGCTGCCTTTGCGTCTCCTACTGAAAACAAATCTTTTTTCGCAGTTCATTTAGAGCCACAATGGTTGCAGTTTCGTTGGGATTTCACTGTGTTAAGGGACCCCCCCCCCCCCCGAAGTACTCAAGTACTATCTAGGGCTCCTGAGAACAAGAAAGCCAGTGGTGAGACTCCGGGAGGAAGTTCCTGGGTGAGGCTTGCGCTCCAGTGTTGTTGGCTGTGAGTCCAGTGTGAGGAATCAGCGTCATGGAAGGAAGGACACACAAAACAAGGGTGTTCTTGATTTGCTGGTGAAACGTGAGGAGTGGCGCAGGGTTCCAGCGTTCTCTCAGGGTCTCTCCCAGCCGTGACTTCCTGCGCATGACTCCCGTGAATAACGAGAATTGACCGTGTATGCAGGACTGCGTCTCTGTGGAGCCCACACACCCAGTGCCTGTCTTCCTGGGGAAAGCGTGTTGTGTGGTTCCCAGATGCAGCTGCACGTTGCCGTGCGCCGAGAGCGGCACAAGATGCTGCTCGCCCCAGGCTGTGGCTTACTTGGCTGGAGCATGGCTTGGGCGTAGAGATTCTAAAAAACGTTTTATTGTTGTTATGAAGTTGATGCACAGAGGGCAGTCAGGTAAAGAGTGCATTTCTTTGGGGACAGTGTCACCCCTTCCCTCACTGTCTCCCAGTTTTTCCCTCCCATCACCACCTGCCAGTTGTGTAGTTCATTTTCAACATAGTGTCCAGTGAGTGCCGTTGCTGTATTTGTTCGCCCTTTGCCCTCCATTTGTGTGCTTAGAAGCTTCTCCAGGGATTCTCGTTGCAGCCAGGTTGACCACTGGTTCTTTGTGTATTAATTTACAGTGTTTCTTGGCAATGGTTCCTAGCCAGCTCTCTGCCGGCACACACAGCTGATGACCCCTGCACTCCAGGGCCAGACAGAAACCACAGCACAGACCCCACCTCCCCTGCAGGTTTGAGGCACGGATGAGCATTGTTTCGACCTTACTGAGGAAGCCCCGCACCTAGGGGAGGGTAGCCAGTGGCGTAGGAAGAGGAACTCTTCTTCTTGTCACCAAAACTGACCCCATAATGTCCTGCCTGTGTGCACATGCACTTGGGGAAAGGCATTTCCCACAGGAACCCCAGTGCTCCTCGGAAGAGGAGAGTAGCTGTCAGATAGCCAGCACCCTGCAGAACTACCTCTGCCCCCCAGAAGACAGGTGTAAAACCAGGCCGGGTGCCACGTGCCTGGAATCCTAGCATGAGAAGGCTAAGGTGGGGATTCGGACTCTGAGGTCAGCTTGGGCCGCATAGAGAGCCCCGTCTCAAAAAAAGACGCGTGGATTTCCTGAATGACACCAAGGAGAGGAGACATAGTGGGGTACAGTGAGTAGATGCTTTCTGTCCGCCTCTGCCTGATACCAAACATCTCTCTCCTTCCTGCTCCCCATTTCTGTTAGCTCTCCTGGTCTTTCCTCCGGGAGTTGGGTATGTGAAGACAAAGCTGAACAAGTGTTAAGAATGGGTCCGGGTTAGTCGCTGGAGAGAATCGGAGGGCAGCCATTGAGCTTCTGTGGCCTGCAGGGGCTCTGGCTGAGCTAAATTCAGCGGAGCTGGGCGGGGCTGGAGCGCCAGTGCTGGCACCCAGGGCCCGCCCACTAGGGACTGGGACAGGGACAGCTGAGCGGAGCAGACCTGGCCTTTGGTTTTTCATCTGACTCAGAGTGGTTACCGAGCACCTACAGGAGGGCATAGGAGGGTGAACGGATGGCCCTGCCTTCGAGGACTGCGAGCTGACAAGCAGTGAGCCGCCGTGTAGAAAAGGTTCCGTGGCAGAGGACGGATGGCCTGCGTCCAGTGAGGGAGGGGTCCCTGCTGGACTGGCATGTAAAGGAAGGGGATTCTGATAGACACATTCCAGGTTGGGCTGTAGGAGGGGGCTCCAAAAAGAGAGGGGAAGGAGCCCCCCCCCCCCCCAAAGGAAGGGAATGGAGGATTTTGGTGCAAACCATGCACATCTATTCTCAAGAACAGGGGAAAGTACAATACGAGAAGTTGGGCTGGAGGAGAGGTTGAGAATGCTGGACAAGGTCTTACGAGATCAAATTCGAAGGACTTGGGGTGGGAAGGGGGAAAGACCTGTGTGTTTCCTCCATCGCCTCCTGCCTGATGTCATTTGGGGTTTTCCCCTTGAGCTTGATTGGACATGTTCCAAGCATTAGCACAAATACATGGAAGCTTCCTCATGACCACTGCTTGCAGGAGTGTCAGGTCTTGCTGACTGGAGAGGCTCTTTCTCTTGGCAGGGGAGGCTGAGGGAAGTCACTCCCCAGGCTCTGCCCAGAGGGGGAGGGGCTCTCCCGTGCAGCATCCACTTCCCCAGGCTGCTTTGCCCCCTCCTCCCCACATGTCTCCTTTCCACTTCCACGTTTGGAGGACTACAAGGAAGCTCTCATTGGAGGGGTGTCTCCGAGGCCCCCTGGGGGAGTACTTCCTCCTTATCCGGCCTTCATGCTCTGCCCAGGGCAGTGTGGGCATGGTGCTTAGCCGCCGCTGCACATCTGGGATGCTGTAAACAGCTCTGACGTGGGATCAGTGCCAGCTGCGGTGCTGCAGATAGATACCCCCGATTTTATACTCACGCTGTGAAATCACTTGCGCACGGCTGTGTGGCTAGCAGAACTAGCATTTGAAAACCTAAGCAGTTGATGATTCTGAGTCTAAACTTCAAATCTCCATTTTTTTTCCATCCCTCTCTTCTGGGCGGCTGTGTCACTAGTGATTTGTCTGTTAATTACCAGGTAACAGCCCCAAGTTTTCCTTTTCACAATGAGACTAAAAAAGGCAGCTTTCAAAATAAACAGCCCTTCGAGGTGCAATTCTCCCTCCCCACAAAGGACAGATATGAAATTTGCAGCTGGAGTTCTCTGTTTCGGAAGCTCCAGGTGTACACTGGGGCTGCGTCCACACTGCAGGCACCTGAAGTACTGGGGGAACCTCAGCCTGGACCCTTGAAGACTGTGACCCCATTTTCCTCAGTGCTGGGTGCTAGAGCTAAATCGCCACTCGAATGGGTGAATGAATGAATGCATGCATGATGGGTAGATCCATTCCATTCCCTTTGCTGGCTTGTCAGTCTGCCACGCATAGACTATTTGCAGGGCATACAAATCTGGATATCATCTGGGGCCTCAGGTTGTATTTTGTTTTGTTGTTTTTGTTTTTTGTACTGGGAGTGGGGCTGAAGCAGACTCTGTTGTTGTTTTGTTTGTTTGTTTTTCTGATGTGGCAAAAAAAAGTAAACTAGAACTTTCCCCTTTGTTTTCCAGGTCACAGCCAAGACTGCCTTCCTATTTATTTTACCTCAGTATAATGTTAGTGTGCCTGCAGCAGGTAAGAAAGGCCGAGCTGCCTCCCCGTCCTGCGAGCCCTGAAGGACCGGCAAACTCTCCTTGGCAACCTTTGGGTGTTTAAGCTCAGTGTCCAGTGGCCTCCCTGGTTGGGGCAGCTGTGCTGTTCACTAAAGACCACCAGGGTGTCGAGCTAGCAGGGCCTCCGGCTGGAGTTTTCCAGGGTGGGACTGGTGGATTCTGCTCTCGGAAACGCCTCCCGGCCTGGGTAAGGCTGCAATAGAGTCCATGCCTGGTGGGAGAAGGGTTCCGTTACTTTAGAAAGGAAAGATAAAGTATTGTTAAACAGTCTGTGTTGTTTAAATCTTGCTATTTGGGGATGTTGGCAATTTGACAAGCAAATAATGGAGAGAGACAACGAATTAGAGGAGCTGCTTAGTTTGTACTCAGCTCCTTAATCATCAACCCAGTGTGGTAATATTTGATTTGTAGGAACTGGAGGAAAGTAAACTTCTCATGGGGAAAAGAAAACACTTTACAAAAACAGTCTGTTACAGCTCTCCCCCACAATCTCTTTAGGGCCAGGAGGGCTTAGAAGTGTATCTTTGTTGTTGTTGTTGTATAACCAGGATAAATAAATTCTGACTTCTGAGCTTTTTTCTTTATAGAGTATATAACTTACTTAATTCAGTGTTTAAAATTGAATTTTGGTCGAGTAGCGACTGTCTCCACACAAAGCGTTCTGTGGCCTGCTCCACTGAGGTTTTCAAGTCGAGGGAAGATAGTGGCCAGGCTTGCGTGTGAGGGCTGTGTTTGCTGTAACTCCCTTTGACTCTGCTCTCTGCTCTCTGCCCTCTGCCCCGCAGTGCCCGCACTTGGGCTGCTGCGGCATAAGTACTTCCGGCTGAGTGGCTTACGTGACAGAAAAGTAATGTCTGGCCATTTGGAGGCTGGCAGTGCGAGGTTAAGGGACACAGGCTGTGCTGCCTGTGAAAGGCTTCCGGCCTCGCGCTGGCTTTGGAGGCAGTACACACATCAGCCTTCCATGGCGTGCTCTGCGTGAGGGTTCAGTCTGGGTCCACCTTCCGCAGCTCTCCTGTGGCCTGTTCTCATCTTCACTAACTACGTCTGTGAATACCGTTTCTGAATGGTCACCTCTTAGGGTACTGGGAGTTACGACTTCAACCTCGGCACCTCCAGCTGTAAATGAATGATCTTCCTGCATTGCAGTCTACAAAACGAGGCTCCAAGCAGAGGCTTGAACCTGGGAGTGGTGCTCATGCAGTGCTATCTTTGCTGGCTTTAAGGTCAGCAGTGATAGGATAAAGCCCAAGGTGCCTCTTTTCACTAAACCTTGTTTCTACTTGCTCTCCAATGGGATTGCCAGAATTGCTTTTTTGTTGTTGTTGTTTTGTAGCATAAGTATACCTCAAGATATGCACGGGACATAATTCTAACAAATTACTCATTGTTTATCTGAAATTCAAATGTTAACCTGTTGGGCTTTATCTGGTAACCATCCACCCTGCCAGCTCTGGCAAAGACTGAAATGTCTGTTTTCTGATCTTACCATTAGACCCGTGGAGTCTTCTTTCTGATTCAAATGGTGTTATGATCAGAAATACATAGGGACCACAGAGGCACTGTATAGAGACCCAGAGGCACACTCAGGCCTGCAGGCCTCTATTCTGGTGTGGAACAGGTGAGCCCCAGGGACCAAGCACTTCTGCACAGGGTTGTTTGGGTTGGACCTCTAATAGGCTGAATTATCTCAGGCAAACCATGAGCACCCTGGGCCCTTCCTCCTCTACACAATGGGCAGTGGTGGTCTCCACCTCCACGGTTTCTAAGGACAGGGAGCCTGGAGGAGTTCTCTGAACGGCCCGTGACTCAGACCAGGACCATTGGCAGGACTAGCCCTTGTGAGAAATATGCCGGGGCCGTCCCCAGCGCACCGAAAGTTCCACCTCAGAGAACACCTGTCAGTGCCCGGGGCCAAAAGGCCCCTTTGGGGTTCAAATAATCCTGTTTCCAAGAAGCTCAGAAGTAAGCTCAGGAGACCTACTATCCTCAGTAACTCATTTGTATGTTTCTATCCAGTTCCAGTTTTGTTTTTCTAGAGTTATTTGGTGGGGACGTAGGGAGTATCGGTGGGTAAATTCAGTATCCGTCTGGGGCCACAGCACCCTGAGAAGCTGTGGCACGTTTATAGCACAGCCTGGGCAGGAGTGGAGACTGATGGCTCCGTGCTGTAGCTGCACCCAAGAACTTTAAACGGGCTGAGGTGGGCAGAGCACTCTCCAGAGGAAGGTTTTGTTCTGCAGGGGTCTGAGCGGACAGAGTTCGGCTCCCAGGAGGTGGGCAGAGCACTCTCCAGAGGAAGGTTTTGTTCTGCAGGGGTCTGAGCGGACAGAGTTCGGCTCCCAGCTGCGCTGATCTCAGACGCTTTATCACTGCATCTGCTCTGTGGCGTTTTCAGTCGGAGGTGGAAAGCTGGAGAACGTCCTTCACCGTAGCTTGGCTGTGTTCTCCTGGCCTCTTCTAGGATAAGATGCCCTGCCAGTAAAGCCAGCCTCATTCATCTGAGGCCTTTGCTGGGCCTCCTCTGCAGGCAGGAATTACTGTTGTCTCCTGCTTACACCATACTGAAAGATTGCTGTCACGCAACAACTGAGCCCCTCTTTGTAGGATGAGGGGCCACCGTGGCTCTGGAGAACGAAGCGACCGTGATTGTAGATGGAAGCTATTCCACCTGGACCTGTGTCTGTTTTAGCTGGAAGCGAGTTAAGATGGGGCCCGTCCTGGCCCTTCCCCTCTCTGCCGCTCTGGGAGGCGGGTATTCCACAGCGCACTGTCTGTGTGATTTGAAGGAAGCGGAGTGGCCTGATGAAGAGTCATGGGCCTGGCATCCACAGGCCTGGCCCTTCCCTGTGGGCACAGCTCCTGCTTGTCTGAGCCCCAGCTGCTATGTCAGTAAACAGGGGTAATACTCAGGATTACAGGGAAGACTAATGAAGTTGCTCAGCAACTGTGCTCAATATATGGCATGGCCAGTAAATGGTGGCTTAGAATTGCCTGTGTGTGTGTGTGTGTGTGTGTGTGTGTGTGTGTGTGCGTGCGCGCATGCTTGTGCCAGTCCTTGGGCTTGAACTTAGGGCTTGAGCACTGTCCCGGAGCTCTTTTGCTCAAGACTAGTGCTCTACAACTTGAGCCACAGCTCTACTTCCAGTTTTTTGGGTAGTTGGAAATAAGAGTCTCACAGATTTTCCTACTTGGGCTGGCTTTGAATTGTGATTCTCAGATGTCAGCCTCCTGAGTAGTTAGGATTACTGGTATGAGCCATCAGTGCCCGGCGGCCATTTGTGTTTTGATAACATGTTATATACATAGCTTGAAGAGAATTTTTTTTTAATTTTAATTTTTATTTTTTGTGAACATACTGTACAGAGGGGTTACAATTACATGGGCAAGATAATGAGTACATTTCTTATCAAGCATTGCAGCCTCCTCCTTTGTTTACCCTTCACATCCCTTCCCGGCCTCCTCCCCCCCATCCCCCCACCTAATCCTCCCCCCCCACACCAAAGTTGTAAAGTTCATTTTCTTTTTTTTTTTTAATTTTTTTAATTTAATTTTTTTTTGTGAACATACTGTACAGAGGGGTTACAATTACATGGGCAGGATAATGCATACATTTCTTATCAAGCATTGCAGCCTCCTCCTTTGTTTACCCTTCACATCCCTTCCCTACCTCCCCCCTATCCCCCCAATCCTCCGCGCCCCCCCCCCCCCCCGCACCAACGTTGTAAAGCTCGTTTTCGACATGACCTTGTATTGAAGAGAATTTTATACAGTATTTTTATTATGTTTTTTGTGTGTGTGTGCTGATACTGGGGCTTAAACTCAGGGCCTGGACAATCCCTTAGCTATTTTGCTCAAGGCTGGTGCTCTATCACTTGAGCCACAGCTTCACTTCAGTTTTTTTGCTGGCTAATTGGAGATAAGAGTCTCACAGACTTTCCTGCCCAGGCTGGCTTTGAACCGCAATCCTCAGATCTCAGCCTCCTGAGTAGCTAGGATTACAGGCTTGAGCCAGCAGTGCCTGGCCCATGCTTGTGTTTGAACTGCAGCCTGTCACATGAGCTCAGGTATAGAATTTTTTCATTTGTGGTTTCATATTGCTTAAAATATTGCTTAAAATATTTTGGATTTTGAGCCTTTCAGATTTTGGATTTTCAGAATAGAGTTATTCAACCTGTACATTTATAGTTCGTTTACTAGTTTCCTGTAGTTTAAAATAACAGCATTGTTTTTGTGCTAGAAACAATGCTGTAGTACAAAGCCTTCAAAGCCTTGTTCATGGGTTATTTCATCTGTGGTGAGTACTAGCTACAAGATGAATTCCCAGAGCAGAACTGTGCATTGCAGGGTCCATGTGTTTGTAATCTCAACAGAAATTGCCAAACAGCTCCAAAGACGCAGTACTGTATATCTTCAGTCCCCTGACAGCATGTGTGAGAGCCCCATTCCCCATGCCGGGGGTAGGTGGTTTGGGGTGGAGAGCGAACCAGAAGTGGAAGAGTGGATGAAGAGAGGAAGAGTGGATGAAGACTGGATGAAAACAAAGAGTAGATGGATGGATGAAGACTGGATAAGTGGATGAAGACAAAGTAGATGGCTGGATGAAGAGTGAAGAGTGGAAGAAGGGATGAAGAGTGGAAGAGTGGATGAAGAGTGGAAGAGTGGATGAAGAGTGGAAGAAGAGTAGGTGAAGAGTGGAAGAGTGGATGAATGAAGAGTGAATGAGTGGGTGAAGACTGGATGAAGACAAAGAGTGGGTGGATGGATGAAGAGTGGAAGAGTGGATGAAGAGTGGAAGAAGACAAAGAGTAGAGGGATGGATGAAGACTGGATAAGTGGATGAAGAGTGGAAGAAGTATGGAAGAAGAGTGAAAGAGTGGATGAAGACCGGATGAAGACAAAGAGTAGAGGGATGGATGAAGACTGGATAAGTGGATGAAGAGTGGAAGAAGTATGGAAGAAGTATGGAAGAAGAGTGGGTGAAGAGTGGGTGAAGACTGAGTAATCACCGGCCTTTCAGGTTTTGCCCAGGTGATAGCTAAGAAATGGTATTTCAGCGCCATCTTAATTTACATTTCTGTTCTGTGTAAGCCCAAGCATGTTTTTCAATGTGTAAAAGCCATCTGTGTATTCTTTTTCTGTATTTTGTCTGTTTATACCATTTGCCCCATTTTTCTGCCGATTGTTATCCTTGTATTCTAGGAGTTTTTTTTGTGTGTGTGTTTTTTTTTTTTAATAGCAAGCTAACTGTCTCTAATCTGAATTGGGAATCTTTTTTTCAGGTGATGATTTAAATTTTTTACTTAATTTGTAATTTGTAATCATTTAATGTTTTTCTTTTGAAGGGGTGGTTGGGTAGGGTGGGGAGGAGAGCTGGGACTCTAAGCCAGGGCCTCCCTTCTGCTAGCAGGTACTTCACCGAAGAGCATCAGCCCTGGCTCCATTTGCCTCTTGGTTTTGTTCACAGCAATTTTTATTTATTTTTTTGTCGGTCGTGGGGCCTCAACTCTGGGCCTGGGCACTGTCCCTGAGCTCTTCAGCTCAAGGCTAGCGCTCTACCACTTTGAGCCACAGTGCCAGTTCCCCCCAGCAATTTTTTGTGTCTTTGTTTTGAATTGATACATGGTATAAAAGACTTGAAATAATAAGAGAAACAGCCCTGTCAGCACAGAAACCTGTGGAAGTCCGTTTCACAAATGCAGGTCCAGGTTAGGAAAGAACTAGCGGAGGGGAGATTGAAGGATGACAGGGGCCTCGTGCCAGGACTCGAGTGGGTCCTGAGGAGCAGACTGGACAGCAGCGTGCGTGAACGGCAGGGTCAGGAGCGGAGGCCGAGACTGCACAGCGTGTTTGGGCAGGACAGGGCTGTGGACAGGCAGGCAGGAGGAGCTGCTGGCGGGTGACGTCAAAAGCAAGGATGTCCTGTCCCCAGAGGCCGTGGTCACGGAGAAAGTCAAGAGCCAAGGCTCTTGCTCGTGATTCCAGGTCTCTTAAACTGACCTCAAGCAGATAGAGAAGTATCGCCGTTGATAGACGTGGAAGGGGGAGGATTATTGTTGAGGGTGCTTGCTTCCAGACTAGGTTGTTCTACGCTCAGTGAACACAAGTGTGTTGAGCAGTTGTGTAGGAGGAAGACACTCACAGGGTTTGGTGTTGGAAAGGGGTCTGGGTCGTCCTCCGGACGCTGCAGATTGGTGGCTCTGGTCACGGTTGGCCTGCCAGCGTGTTTTCTTTGGACCGGGTAGTGTTGGCTCATGCCGTGTTTTGAACAATTTTGAATTAGTCACTAATATTTAAAAATCCTATGGGTTTTTTTTTTTTTTTTGGGTAAAGATTTCTCTATTTGCTTCCAAAATACCAGGAATCGGCCCGCCGTGGGCCTTACTTTTCCCCCACCCCCCCACAGCCCCCAGGACACGCGCTCGGGAGGGTTCCACAGCGCCACTCCTCTGAGTGTGTCCCTGGGGCTGAGACAAGCCAGGCGCTCACCGCTGATCCCAGTGTAAGCTGCTGCATTTCTCCTCGGAGCTAAGCAAGAAGCGGTCACGTCTTCCGCTTGTTTCTCTCTCGAAGTGGAGATGTGAAAGGCCGGCTAAGGGGGTGACGGGTGGGAAGACCAGCAGTTACGGAGTGTGGCGCATGACCTGCTCCCCCAGGCTTGCGGGGGGGGGGGGCTGTGCCCAGGGCATGGCGCCCTTGGCGGCCTCCCCCATCCCTGCCGCCTCGTGCTGACTGTCAGTCACCCGGACTGACGGACCCGTAGCCAGCGCTCCAGCAGGCCCACACTTTCCCTTCTGTGTGGGTTTGTTGCGGTATTGTGGGAGGAGGGTCTCTCTCACTAAGTCCTTTTGTGATTGGCCCGGTTCCCCCAATGTAAGGTCCGGGCTCCGAGTGGAGTCCGCGTGGTTGCCTGTGCAGCCTCAATCTCCCAGTCTCCCTGCCTCAGCCGCTGCCTCCACTCCTGTCTCGATGAGTTTATTCTAGGATCCCACACCAGTGGGAGCCTACAGTTTTTGTCTTTGTATTTTCCTCATGATTAGAGATGGTAAGCTGCCATTCCTTGGCCAGCTGTATCACTTCTTTTGGGGGGGGAGGGAGGAGTCTATTCAAGTCTGTGACACAGTTTTTAAAAAATCAGGTTGTTGTTTTTCCTGTTGAGTTGGCAGTGGTGGCTCTTTAAGTACAGGAGGATTTGGTGTGCCCCGCTCAGCTCCGAAATGGCAGGGTCTGTGTGTACCACTCACCGCTACCTCCCAGCCCCAGCCCAGAGCCTGCGCAGGGCACGCGGTGAGCAGCCAAGTATGCTGCGCCCAGCAGTGAGGGGATTGAGGAGGGTGCTTGTCCATGCATTGGTCTTTTTGTCTGTGTGCTAGGCATTGAACCCAGGGCCACGCACATGCCAGGCAAGTTCTCTGCCACTCAGCCCCGTGCCTAGCCCCCACATGGTCATTCTTGTTTCAAGAAGAACTTGAAGCAATGGTCTTCTCTTTGGAACTGTAGCATTGGAAATAAAGAAAGGCAGATAGCCCCCAGAAAGCATTAGAATGTTTAAGGGGAAGTATTAACAAGTACTGTTTCACCAGTTTAGACTATACTTCCTTGGCTGAGTATAACATCCCATTTTGCCTAATAACAATGGCCTTGAGGATAAACCTGCATGTGTTTAGCTATTAAAACGTGCAGCCCTCTAGTGAGTCTCTTATGAAGAAGGCAGGGAAAACGTGAGATGGTGAGTGGGATTGGAGGCTGAGTTGTACCTGTGTTTTCTCCCTCACGGCTGTCTCTTCTCAGTCTGCAGCGCTTGGTTCCCACCAGTAAGTCAGCCGCCAAGCCTCCTCTGTCCTCCCTCCTGAGCAGGCCTCCTCCACCTTTCCTCTCTGTCTCTTCCTACCTGAATGCAGGTCCTGGGTGGTCCCTCACCTGGGTGACAGGGTCAGCTCTGAGGCAGATGCCTTACCTCCAGGACTCTCCCTGTGTGCTGCTAAGTAAACCTTCCAGAATACAAGTTGCATCATTTTCCTGTCTCATTAGGATTCTTCCACGTGTCCAAGTTGCCCTCAGGGTAGAGGCCACACCCTCTCTGGGCAGAGGCCACACCCTCTCGGGTGGCACCCGGCTGTTCCTTGCCGCGTGCAGCCTTTTCCCGGCGCCCTGGGCAGACGATGCTGCCTGGCCTAGGATGCGGCTCCATCGCCCGCCCATCCCCGGTTCCTGCGGCCCCATTCCCTCACCTCTGCCGCCTGGGGCCAGCCAGCCCCTTGGCTGTCTGCAGTGTAACTGGAGGCATTTGCGTTCATCTCCACGCTCCCACCCGGAGCCCAGGGCTTCTCAGGAGGAGGTGTCTGTGGGAAGGAGCCAAGAGAGGGAAGGGTAAAGTTTGTCTGGCTTAGCAGCTCTTATTCTCGGTGCTCTTGACAGTGTGAGCCACGCTGCTGCCCAGTCCAGGGTGGCTGGGGTTAGGGTGACTGCAGAGTGACCAGTTCCGCCCGCTGGGTTCCCCGGCCTACCTCTGGTAAATGGCTCATAACGGAGGGATGACTCGCGCGGGGACTCGAGCAGGCCGCGCCGCTGGAAGGGCAGCCGCGTGTCAGAGAGGAGAGGAGGGTGCTTACCTGGCTCTTGCCGCCTGCGGCCAGCTCGCCCCCCACTGCACAAGGAAGAGGAGGCCATAGTGGTAGTTTCAAGAAACTTCGATAGCTAGGATTCCCCCTAACTTATTACTATTTTTTGATAGATCCACCATTTCCAGATGCTTACTCTAAGTGGTAGGCACTGCAGTAGCATCTGGCGTGTAAAGCCGAACAGCAAAGTGAATAGCAAGCTCACACACAGCACCGCCCAGCGCCTGCCGTGCGGCGACTCATCTGCCTCTCACAGCAGCCCTGTATCCCAGGGGCTGCTAGCATCACTTTACAAATGAGGGGAGTGGGGCACAGAGCGCGGGCTCGCAGAGATCCCCCCCCAGTTGTAATGAGAAGTAAAGTACGGAGCGGTGACGCAGCCTTAGGCAGTGCGAATTCTGCGTCCACAGGGACCTCGCACGCCGGGCTTCCTGGGTGAGGTGCGGGTGTAAGGGAGGAGGAGATGGAGGAGGCATGATCAACGCGGTTCACTTGTCCTCAGTCCACACATTGCAGAGTGGCCCAGGGTGCTTACACGGTGCTCTCCAGGGTGGCACCCTTGCCTCTCCACAGCTCTCCCCGTGGGAACATCCAAGGACCACGTCCAGGGCTTGGATAGGATGCTAGGGCCCAGGCGGTCTGCTAAGTCTGGGGCTCTCGCAAACGGGGAACAATTGGATCAGAACTCCTGTTTCCCGTCGTTTTCCTGTGGGTTCTGGGAGTGCTGACGGAAGCCTCTGACCCCGCAGACAGTGAGACGGTGCAGTACCACTACGGCCCGAAGGACCTGGTCACCGTCCTGTTCTACATCTTCATTGCCATCATCCTGCACGCTGTGGTTCAGGAGTACATCTTAGATGTAAGTGACGGCTGGCTTCGGAGGTGAGCTAGCGCTGGGCCTAGCTCCGAGTCGCATGCCGCCTAGTGTGTACCTCCTGCTGACCGGACTTGGGACAGCAGTCTCACATGGGTAGAAAGCTGTTGAAATAGGACAGACCAGCATCTTTTTGGGTCTGTTAGACATAGGTTGGCCGGGGGGGGGTCGTGTTCTTTAGATGTAGGTTAAGACTTTAATCTTGTGGGTTTTGTAAAGTGTCTGTCTGGAGCTAAGCCGCAGGTTCACACAGTAGGCTTACGCTACACGGCGTGGAGGATAGCCTGGCTCCAACGTTTGTCAGTGTCTCATTTTCGTGGGGTGGAAACGGGGGACTGAAATCTGCCCAGTAGGCATGTCCTCACACCTCAGGTAATAGATGGGGTTTTCTTTTCTTCCTTAGAAAATCAGCAGACGGCTCCATCTCTCCAAGGTCAAGCACGGCAAGTTCAACGAGTCCGGACAGCTGCTTGTCTTTCATGTCAGCTCGGCGCTGTGGTGCTTCTACGTGGCGCTGACGGTGAGTAGCCTTCAGGCCTGCGGCAGGCTTCTCCCTGAGCCTCCGCGTCCCTCACATCACCGACACCGGGACTGTGAATTGCTGGTAGGGAAGAAAAAGAGGAAGAGTCATGTGTCTTAGAACTGAAATTCTGTGCCATGTTTACTAGCTGGAGGGAGTGATCGGATGGAAGTGAACACTTTCAGAGTCCTCTGACACTATAGTAAGGATCCGGGTGCGTGCATAGAGTGCTGTGTTTTGTGTTTGCAGGCCCTTTGCAAATGCAGGCCCATCAGGTAAACTTGGCGTTAATTCTGGTACCTGTGCTGGGGATGAGAAGAGTTTCAAGCTCTGTTTCATAGTTTGTCCACAGCCAAGTGCGAAGGTGGCTTGAATTTGGAGGTCTGACTCCCACTGTGCATTAGTCAGGTCTACACTGTTGTGAGTGAAGGAGGAAGGGTTTCCTTTTGGTTCGCGGTTTTACGAGGCTCAATCCCTGGGCAACTGGCTATTTGCTTTGGGCCTGCGGTGAGGTCGGAACTATATGTCTTGAGAACTTGTGGTAGAGCCAAGCTGCTCACCGAATGACAGGCAGGAAGCAGAGGGAAACAGACAGGAAAGGACCAGAGACCAAAGACACCCTGACAGGCAAGCCCCAGTGACCTCCTTCCTCCAGCCAGGCCCCACGTCCCAGCTTCTACCACCTCCCAGATGCTATCAGATGATGAGCTAACTCATCCTTGCACTAATCTGTGGATGAGGTCAGAGCTCTCGGAGCTGCTCACTTCCCCGAAATGAACATTTCTTATCTCTGAAGATTGCATCAAACACAGGAGTCTTGCGGGACATTTCACATGAAGTCGTAACAAAGGCCAGCACACTTTCCGTTTTGCAGAAAGTAAACATGAGGCGAGCCTCTTTCCCCGCACAGCAGATCTCCCCAGGAGTTCCCCCCCCCCACACACACACACACACCTCTGGGACCAGAAGTCCTCCCGACCTCCTGCTCTGCAGCACGACTCTTAATCTGAAACTACCTTTGACAGGCCACATTCCTTGGACTAAAGAAATGTAGGAGGTCCTTCAAGGTCATTGGAAGGAGACCCTTTCTGTTAGTGACACCCACCCTCACCTGAAGCCCCTCCCATCTTAAAATTGGGTCTCCTGTGGCTTGGAAAATTCGGTAGCCCTGTGATGTCTTTGAGATTTCCCTCCCTTGGTGGCTGCCAGGCTGACAATGGATGGAGTGGTGTCACTCCCGTCAGAGCCCAGCGTGGGGCACAGTCCTCTCAGCAGGAGTCCACGTAGCTTCTGTACACTGCCTTTATTCCACTACCATTTCATGGCAGAGCAGACTTGCTGAAGGACTGAAAACTTCGTCCCCTCTCCCTGGGGTGTTTCGCTTCTAGGGGACAGGGCATGATTGGGGTCCCCTGCCCTGGTGCGGCACACCGGGGTTTCCGCCTCTGCCCTCAGGCCTTCCCCGCTTCCTGAGGTTGGGTCTGTGCCCCGCGGGTGCCCCACACTGCTCTGAGGCAGACTGGCCTCCGAGAGCAGACACGGCACTTGGCTTTTTGGGGAGCATTGCCTCATCTTGAGTCACTTCCGCCCCTTCCCCCTCACCCCTACGTCCCACCCTGCGGTGCCATGTGGATCCCTCTCAGATCCCCTTCCAGCCCTTCAGGGGCTCAGAAGTGAAGATGGAACCTGGGCTGGGAGCGTGGAGGCTTCCCTTGCAAAGGTTCCTCCCAGATCCCCTCAGCCGAGGCTGGAGCTGCCCGCGAGGCTGGAGCCGCCCGCCCGACCAACTGACCGTCAGACCAGCGCCAGTGACTCCAGCTCCTGGTGACACCGCCTCCCTCCCTCCCGCCTCCACCATCCATCTGTGAGGAAGGAAGGTGGTGAAGAGGCGGAGAGTTAGTTTCCTTTTTTTATATTAATGTTTAAGTTGTTATTGTAAAGGTGATGCACCTTTACAAAGGCTACCGTTTCTAAGTCAGGTAATGCGTACGTTTCTTTTCGGACAATGCCATCCTTTCCTTTGCTTTCTCCCAGTTTTTCCCTCCCTCCCCGCCCACAAGTCGTATAGTTCATTTTCCGCAGGAGTTGTTGTTGTTGTTGTTGTTTTCCCAGTCAGTCGTGGGGCCTGAACTCTGGGCCTCCTGACGCTGTCCCTCAGCTCTTCAGCTCAAGGCTAGCGCTCTACCACTTGAGCCACAGCTCCAGTTCCAGCTTTTTCTGCTTATGTGGTGCTGAGGAATCGAACCCAGGGCCTCATGCATGCAAGGCAAGCGCTCTACCACTGAGCCACCTCCCAGTCCCAGGAGTTAGTTTTTGTGAAGGAAGAAAGCCAGCAGGTTTCTTGCTCATGGTTTTCTGTCATGCTGTGAGACGCGCGTCTTCTCTTGGGGAGCAGGGCCAGCAGGGCCGGCCGGGTCTGCCTGCAGCGTGTTACCTCCTCGCCACCCCGCTCCAGCGGCCTCCTCTCAGGAAGGTCACCCCCAGGGGACGTTGAGAACACACTTCTGGCCGCTGGTGCTGGTGGCTCACACCTGTAAGCCTAAAGGAAGCTGAAATTTGAGGCTCACAGTTTGAGTCCCCATGAGACTCTTATCTCCAATAAACTATTCAAAAAAGCCTGAGAGTGGTGCTGTAACTCAAGTGGTAGAGTACTGGCCTTGAGCACAAAGCGGCTCAGAGACAGCACCCAGGCCTTAAGTTCAAGCCCCAGGACTAGCGAGAAAAAAAAGAAAGAACACGTTCCTGGCACCTAGTGGGTAGAGGTGGGCAGAGCTGGTGCCTCCCGGTGTACAGCCATTCCCCCACGCCAGGGGGCTCACGCCGCCCTCATCCGAGGGCCAAGTTTCCATGCGGCTCCCCCACCCCACTCATCATCTGCGTGGCCAGATGGCTGTTAAACATAAACTGAGTCCTGCCCTCTCCTCTCCACTTAAAGCCAGGCCCCTCACAGCTGCGGAAACGTTCTCTTCCTCCGACATGTGACCCGGCCCCGCGGCCAGCTGGTCTCATGCAAAGGGATACAGCCCCGCTGTTCTGGCCTTTGCCTCTCTCGCTGCCCAGCCATTCCTCCTCCTGGGCTTTGCGTGGCTGGCTCCTTCCTGCCCTCCAGCCTCCACTCCAGCGTACCTCCTCAGAGCAGCTCCCCTCCTCCCCTCCGCACTGCTCTTCTCCGGCTCACGTGTGTGCTCCCTCTGACCCTCCCTCCGGACCCTGGGCTGCCTGTGGTAGGCACTGCACTTCGAGCCGATCCTCTGCACTCTGCCTGGCATGCTCTGAGCCCCCCTGAGTCTTGGCAGGGAGGATGACCCCCAAGCCACACATGCATCTTCTTTTTCTAGCTTTCCACAGATTTTTTTTTTTTTCAGTAATGAATTGATGGTTTCCCTAAGCATCACGGATGATCATTATTTAAAGAAGTAATACAGAACAGCTTTTTATAAAAAAGGAAGCAAAAAGTGTACCCCAAGTCTCAGCTGTTGGGAATACCAGTTGCCTTTGTGTGTTGGATGCAGATGATTTTCTTGGCCTCTATTCAGGTGTTGCACTAGGAGTGTGACTAGACCCTCCAGTGAGCATCTGAGCATGCCAGCCTCTAACTTTTAGTCTGTCTTTGATATATTATCCAATGTTCAAGGAAGAGAGGAAAAACAAACAAGGCCAACAACAGGACCTCGACTGGAGGATGAGGGTGGACAGGCCTTTGGACTTTCCTCTGCGGTGTCGGTCTTCGAGTTTTAGAACCTAAAGTCCACTGGACGGCAATGGCTTTGGGATGGTTTGTAGGGTGTGGTTGTTCCTGGTAAGCAAATGATGCAGGGATGTCCGAGGCTAGGTAGCAGCTACTTCTTTTCCCTCTGGATTCCACTGGGTTTTGTGGTTCTTTTTGTTTATGCACTAGAAGAGGAGATTGCTGGGGAAGCAGACGGATCTGCCATGCGTGGAGAGTCTGTTTAGCTCCTGGGTCGATTTGGAGATTCCACAGAGAACAAAGGATTTCAAGAGCCCCAGCCTCCACCCCCCGCACAGCCATCTGCTGGGGCCTGTCCGTGGCGGGGACCGAAAGGCTCCAGTGCGGGCTGTGCTGAGCTCGCCCTGGAACTCAGGTGCCTTGGCATGCCTGAGCTCGGAGGCCGCCAGTCCCGCCCTCCCTCAGACAGCTGCCCTGACCGAGGGCTGGAAAAGGCTGTTTTCAGAGCAGTGAGTCATTTTTCCTCTGGCTCCTCTGCTCCCCTCCCTCCTCCCACTCCTCCAGTCCCCGTGGACCAGACATTCACAAGCAGGCAGCATTTTTCTGGGAGTCTTCTTGGCTCTCTGTTCCAAAATCCTGACCTCTTTGTCTCCTAAGTGAAGAGGCCGCGCCAAGAGGGCCCTATGTAAAGTCTCAAGACCATGCAGGCAGCACCATGTTGAGTGCTGCTTCTCTTGGCCAGTCCTTTTATTTTGGCCTTGGCGGGGGAGGAGGGGGAAGGCCGGAAAGGCCTCTTCCTCCTCAGTCCCACAAGTCCTATTTTTCCTGCTCAATACATTGCTGCTTCCTGTAGGAAGGGCATCCCTTGGAATGAGACAGCCTTTCAGAAGACCAGGTGTCCCTGTGTCTGGCATCAGAGATCTCATGCGGGCCGATAATCCGAGCGCTCAGGAGGGGAGGGGGAACAGAGGGTAGCGATGTGAGCGTCTAAAGCTCACTGCCACCGCTACCCGCTCTACTGATCGAAAGTGTGACCTCCTTCCAATCTAATAGTCCCCATGCCTGCCCTGGTCCCTGTATCATGCTCCTGGGAGCCGAGCCAGGCTGAAACACATGCTGACAGGTCAGAGGGCATTTAGTAACTTGAGGGTCGTGGGTCAGTCAGCAGTTGGAAATACAGCTGCAAATCCAAGAGACAGTAGCCTAGAGTGCCTCCCACTAAACCAAGCCGAGCTCATTCTCCGAAGCAATAAAGCCTGCTCTCAATGCCAGGGTGAACTGTGGAGGGGTCCAGCGGGTTTTCCAACTTTCTCAAACAACTTGCCTGAAGTCCTAAGACCAAGAGGTTGGTGGCTCAGCTCACATTCCAGCTGTCTACTGGAAAACCATCTCACTTCAGGAAATCTCTCCTATCCATTACTTCATTGCTCATACTTCTCTAAGAGGTAAATATGGGCCCCGTGTTATTCTATTTGGAAGAGAAGTGGGTAGAGCATTCTCATGGCTGGAATGTGCTTTGGTGATAGAGTTTAACACACACAAAGCCCGGTTTGAGCTCCACCACTGAGAGGAAACGAAAACAAGAACTTTGCTAAAGCATTCATCATCCATCCATCCACCCCTTACTTTTGGTTCCTTCATTCATTCAACTGATACCTTCTCATTGGACCCGTGTGTCAGTTGACTTGCTGGAGCTGATGTTTCTCCTCATCTTGCATTGTAAGCTCGGGTCTACATCTCCGGGTTTTATCCTTGGGGGGTGGGGGGTGTGGGGTATGTCTGGCCCAGTGTATCTGGGAACACACTGGCCCACATCCCTGTTAATACTGACTTAGGAACCAGTGGTTACTGGGCCACACAGGTGTTCCTTGAGCTCCAGATGCTTTTGAGGGAAAAGCTGGTGCTGTGAGGTTTTACAGTACGTTTGTTTTCACGCTGGGCTTCGCTGAGCAGACTTCTTTCCTTTCCTGTGTTGGTCAGCAGATACTTTCCACACACCTCTGAGATTGCATCTCCTCCAGGGTCTTGATTTGATACTAGGGTCTTGGGTTCCACCCCTGGCCTCAAGATTGATGCCTTCTGGGCTGCCACCATGTCACCATTTTGGCTTTTGGCCCCTGTTCCTTGGGGACCAGGCTTCCCTTCCTTACCATGAGCTCAGCTTTGCATTGGAATAGTCCCTAGAGGCCTGGTGGGGGGTTCAGGTTACGTCCCCATTGCTCACAGGGCTGAGTCCTGCACACTCGAGGCAGAGAGCACGGCAACCAGGACCCTGGTGTGGCGGAGCCAGCGACAGTGGCTCTGCTGGGCGCTGGAATCCAGCCAGTGGCTCCCGCCTTCCCGCTAGTGTGACAGCTAACGCAGACTTTGGACTTTGCTCATGGGCTGGGGTTCTGTAAGCATCTCTCCTGCATACGACAGGTGCTGCCCTGTAGCCATCTCGCGTGCCCCCATGTCCCTCGCTCAAGGACGGACTCTGACCCCGTGTTACAGGGGCCCCAGTGGGGGCTCAGGGGGGTGGCGTAACCTGCTCCGTGGGGCAGCTGGGTCTTCAGGCCCCGGGGCCGGGCACCGTGCACCGCATCATGATACTTACGCAAGTACATGATGTCCCTCACCGAGCGCCCTCTGTTCTTAACGTGTCCTGATCTTTGTCCAACAGGTGGGGGCCGGGCGCCTCCCGGACCTGTCCCGGGACCCCGGCGCGTGGCACCCGAGTGTCTCTAAATGCCCTCTCCTCTCCCCCACCGCAGGAAGGATACCTGACCAACCCGAGAAGCCTCTGGGAGGACTACCCGCACGTGCACCTCTCGTGAGTACCGGGCGACTCAGTCCCCACGGGATTCTCCTCCCAGAATATGTCCAGAGTGCCCGGGCCAGCCGGCCTGAGGACCGTCATGCCCCGGGCCCATGAGGCCCCGGAGGGACGGTCAGGCTTCTGTCTGGGACCAGAGAAACCCCAAACGAAAAGGCCATCCACACGAGCTCCTTGCAGAGGTAGACGGCAGACGCAAAGCAGACAACTCAGAAAAAGCTGTCTGGCTTTGTGTCTTCCTGGCGACGCACTAGAGGGCAGAGCACATCCTCCCTGCGGTCTTCTGCTGCTGACGCTGGCTGGCTGGGGGGTGGGAGGGGGGACCTGGGTCTGCTGGCTGGCTGGGGGGGGGGGGGGACCTGGGTCTGGGTCTCGAGAGACCCCTTCACCTCTAGGCAGAGCCTCGGTAGCAGAGTCCGTGTTGCGAGCTGGGTGCTCCTCGCCGCCGCACAGCCGTCTGGTGCTCAGTGTACTGGCTTGTGGCTTGTGATCCCCTTCCTCCCGCGCTTCCCGTGCGCCGGGAGGCCACTGAGTGTGCCCGCTCCGCTCCCCGCAGGCCCGCACGCTGCCAGCCTCTCCCGCCCCTGGCCGGGCCCTTCCCTCCCCAGCCTGACGAGCTCCTGAGAGGACGTTTTACCCCGTCCCACCCGTGTGACCTTCTCTCTTGTCTGCAGCTTCCAGGTGAAGTTCTTCTACCTTTGCCAGATGGCCTACTGGCTGCACGCACTGCCAGAGCTCTACTTCCAGAAGGTGCGCAAGGTGAGCGCGCCCCCCCCCCCCCCCCCGGCCTCCCCTGCTGTTCCCTCCCCTTCCTCTGGCCCTCGTGCCAGGGTGGTCGGAGCTCATGTCCAGTCTGGAGTCGGCCCTGTAGACGCGCTGCGCACACGCTCGTGAGCCTTGGCGTGAGAGTCCATCTCTTGCCTCCCCCTGTGGCTCTGGTGGTTCCCACCGGCTCACCTCTCCGTTTTTTACAAGCACTTTCCTTCTGAGTCGCTTCCAGAGCCTTCTTCCCCAGCCCCACACGCTGTCCCCACACCCAGTGCCGCCTCCTCCTGGCAGTCCCGTGCCCAGCCCCAACGGGGGGTGGAGGGGCACAGCCTGCATCCCCAGCTGGGAATAGGCCCACTCATTGTCTTCCATCTTGTCCTCAGGAGGAAATTCCCCGGCAGCTCCAGTCCATCTGTCTGTACCTGGTCCACATAGCTGGAGCGTACCTCTTGAAGTGAGTGAGACCCGGCACTGCTCAGGTTTCTTTGCCTGTGTGCGCCACGCATGTGTCCTCACTGCTACTTGCCTAGCGGCGGCAGGCACTTAATAGACCGTCTCCGTGCACGGGAAGAATTGAGAATGCCAAGAGGGACACCAGTAAGGAAGAGGGACACCAGTAAGGACGGTTTACTGTGATAAGCATTGTGATGAGAAACGGACCCCAAGCCCTGGGAAGGCTGGTGACCTCAACCCAAGACACATCTTCCGGCAGATGTAAAGCTCTTGGCTCCTTGTCCGTCCTTGGTTCTGGTAGCGTGGTGTGGTGTGCGAAGGCACTGCCCGAGCGAGGCTCGCTGAGGGGGCAGGCAGGCACAGGCACCCGACCAGACAGGCCCTGTGAGCGGCCGGGGAGGTGTCCTAAAGGCAGACAGCCAGGTCTAGTGATGAGACAGTCCGCATGGAGCAGTGGAGAAGCTAAGGCTGACTCTCCTCCCCAGCCTGAGCCGCCTGGGCCTGCTGCTGCTGCTCCTGCAGTACTCCACCGAGTTCCTCTTCCACATGGCTCGACTCTTCTACTTCGCAGATGAGAACAACGAGAAGCTGTAAGTGGGACTGTGGAGGATGGAGGGGGGGGCTCCTGACCTCCCCCAGGCCTGGCTGGTGGAGGGGGCAGGCTCCTGACCTCCCCCAGGCCTGGCTGGTGGAGGGGGCAGGCTCCTGACCTCCCCCAGCCCTTGCCGGTAGAGGCCCGGCTGGGGTGTCAGCTGCTCACTTGTCTGCTGGGGGCAGAAGTTACCATCTTCTTCTAGATCGCCCTGGAGCAGCCTGCTGGGGCCTGGCCGGTCCTCTCTCCTCTCAGGGTGGGTCTGGAGAAGGGCAGACGTTCCTTCGGGAGCCCTGCAGGCCTCGCCCGTCTCTGCCCCTGCTCACAGGTTCAGCGCCTGGGCCGCTGTGTTCGGCATCACGCGCCTCGGCATCCTCACCCTCGCCGTGCTGGCCATCGGCTTCGGACTGGCTCGTGTGGAAAACCAGGCATTTGACCCTGAGAAGGGGAACTTCAACACCTTGCTCTGCAGGTAGGTCAAGCAGAAGCCGGGCGGGGTGTGGGGGATGGTCCATGGCTCCGAGCACTGCCAGCCCCTTGAACTTGGCCTACCTTCCATGAGGGTCAGGAGGCAGCCAGCCCCATGAGCCCTCACGCTTGGTTCCTTAGCTAGAGAGCTGTGGGTGTGTGGTGAGAAGTGGGGGGACCAGCCTGCTGTCCCTGCCAAACCCTGCACTCCTGGTTCGCCAGATGGCAGCGGGAATCTCAGTGCCAGTGTCGGGCAGCCACTTCCTTTGTGTGGCTTATGTCATCGTGTGTGAGCAGTGCTTATCCAGTCTTGCACTTGATCCTGACAGCCACATGGGGACTCTCAAAACTGTCCTCTACAGCTAGGCCAGTGGCCTACCCTGCCATTAAGAAAGATAGCAGAAGGGCTGGGAAGGTGGCTCAGTGGTAGAGCGCTTGCCTCACATGCATGAGGCCCTGGGTTCGATTCTTCAGCACCACATAGAAAAAGCCAGAAGTGGCACTGTGGCTCTAGTAGTAGAGCACTTGCCTTGAGCTGAAGAGCTGAGGGACAGCGCCCAGGCCCAGAGTTCAAGCTCCATCACCGGCAAAAAAAAAAAAAAGGCAAGCAAAGGAGCCATGTGTTTCCCTGAGTGCACGGAGCAGCGGGTGTGGGGTTCTAGGGCTGCTCGGCTTCAAGTGGAATACTAGATGGCAGCCGCTCGCTCAGTGGTGTCAGCGAGATCGTCCTTCGCTTCTTTTGAATTGCCCTGATACTTGGGGCACATTGGCCTCACCCGGGCTGTGCTGTGGAGGGGACGCTGCATTCCCGGGCGGGGGAGCACTGGGGAGCACTGGGGCCATGGAGCTGCCACTGCCTCCTCCCCCGGCGCCCGCTCAGACGTGGCGTGCTGGCCGGAGCAATGCGGGACGCACTCCCTGCTGGCGGCGTCGGGAAGAAGGGCCCAGGCCGCGGGAGGCCCGCCACGAGCCCCCTGTGCTCCCCGCAGGCTGTGTGTGCTGCTGGTGGTGTGTGCTGCCCAGGCCTGGCTCATGTGGCGATTCATCCACTCCCAGCTGCGGCACTGGCGGGAGCACTGGAACGAGCAGAATGCCAAGCGGAGAGTTCCAGCGGCTTCCAGGCTGCCAGCCAGGCTGCTCAAGAGGGAATCTGGTGAGTGCCAGGGCCTGCAGCAGGGAGGTGCGGCTGAGGCCTGTCTGGAAGGGTGGGCAAGATCCAGGCCAGCCGGAGGCCTCCACGGCCCTCCTGCATCCTGCGGCTCCTCCTTCCTTCCTGACTGCTCCCCTCCGCCTGCCCGCCCCACCGCCCGCCCCGGGCTCCTGCCTTGACGCGTGGCTGGGCCTGAGCCAGAGTCAAGAGTGGGCAGGGCCATCCCCGAGCGGAGTGGCCGCCTGGCCACTGCGGGGCGGGGTCACAATGGGTGGGGACCTCTGGCGGCCAGCCTGCCCTCCGGGTGGCTTCTGGTGCCCAGCCAAGTCCTGCCACTGCCGCCGCCCACAGCCAGGCTGCAGAGTGGCCGCGTCCTCACCTGCCTTCGCTGCCCTGGCGGAGCTGCTTGGTGACAGCGCGGGGAGGGGCGAGAGCGGGCGTGGGACCCCCACTTCCTCCCGCGGCGACCCCTCTCCCTGACTCTCCTGCCTTCAGGGCGCGCTGCTCGGCCAGGGCGTGTGTGGCGGAGGCTGTGATGGGGGGGGGGGGGGACGCGTGAGGAGGTGCTTCCGCCGTGATTTTGTCCCAGGACACACGTGTGGTCCCACAGCCTCCCGCCCTCCAACCCCCAATCCTGGGAGTTGCTGCACACACGGGTGCCCCTCCAGAACCCGGCGGGAAGCGCGGACTGAGATGGCACCCGGGAGGTCCCAGCCTGTTCCTGGGCTCCGCAGACACCCCTCCGAAAGAACAGAGAACAGCACCTCAGAGGGGCCAAGTGCCCAAGACCCCGGGAGGGCAGGAGAGCCTGGCGCCCCCACCCCGGGGTGCCGGCGCACGCGCGGCCTCCTTGGTCTCGCCTGGTCCCTGCAGAAACGCCACGTGTGTGTGTCTCTCCCCTCTCCAGGTTACCATGAAAATGGAGTCGTGAAGGCAGAGAACGGAACCTCCCCACGGACTAAGAAACTCAAGTCTCCCTAAGGCCAAAGTGCTGCGACCAGGAATCCTCTGGGTGTGGGTCTCGGGAGGAGGGGCGGCCACTGCCCCCGCCCCACCCGCCCCACCTCCACCGGCAGAACCTCCTGTCTTCAGACGGGGCTTCTCTCTCACTCCTCGGCTTTCTCTTCTTTTTCTTCTTCTATAAACCGTTCTCAATAAAGCCAAAAATCTCCCTCTCTTGCTCAGTCGGGCCACCTCTGCCTTGCCTCTGTCCTGTGTGGGTTTTCTCCTTGCAGCCTGGATTTCCCATGGAATCTTTCTCTGTCCTCTTCTTCCGCTTCCTCCACGGCTGCTGCTTTTCCTCCTCATTCGCACGCGCAGTTTTTCTCTGTGTGATTCTTACGATGGACGGGCGCCGAGACCGCGGTCCTGGCCGTCGATCGCGGGTCTGTCGCTCTGCAGCCCGCACCGAGGCACCGCGGCACACCGCGCCTCACCTCGGCCGGGCACCTCGGCCAGGCACGTCCTCCTCTTGCGGACGGCAGGAGCAGCAGAGGCCGGCCCTCTTGGATCATCGTCTTCTTGGTGCTGATAGACTGATGAGATGCATGATTCCGGTTCTCTGCCTGGCGCCCCGAGGCACAGCCTCCACCCTCGGGCATGCCTGGACACGGCAGCTTGGCCGAGAAAGGACAGTGTTAACCCCGCTGGTCCCGCGGCTCCCCACAGCTCACAGAGCAGCGCCCCGAAACCAGCCTCCCGCGCTCAGAGGACACGTCTTCCCACGTCTAGAGCAAGAGCAACGTGTTGAGCAGTAGGCTGGTCCAGAAAGATGATGCGCTGGGGGTGCTGTGGGAGCCAGGCTGGGCTTGTCCTCAGCCATGCCAGTTGCTCCTGCATCAGCCGCTCGCCAGAGCCCACCAGAGCCGGCGCCAGCCGCTCACCAGAGCTCACCAGAGCCCGCGCCCCCGCCAGCCGCTCGCCAGAGCCCGCGCCCCCGCCAGCCGCTCGCCAGAGCCCGCGCCCCCGCCAGCCGCTCGCCAGAGCCCGCGCCCACCCTCCACTCGCTGTTTTCAAGTCCACCCAGCCAGCCCTGCCCACGGCCAGCTTGCTACCTTGTCTTCATCTCTCGATGCTGCAGAAACATGAAGCCTCACGGGATCAGCCCCTCGCCTGTCCCCAAGCATCCCAGGGAGGGTCCCCTGCACCTCCCCTTGGACCTCGCTCTTCAGGTGTTCTTTACACATCTCCGTCTGACAGCAGGTGACTCTGTGTCTCTCCTGCTTGGAAGAGCAGACGTGGGGTGTCCATGCGAGTCCGGAGGCCCCTCCCCCAGTGTGCCTTCCTCTCCCCTCCACCTGGAGGCATGATGCCAGGCCCTTGTGCAGCCGGTGAGGGCTTCCGGAAGAGGGGAGGGCGCGGAAGAACTCGCTGTGCTGAGGCGAAAGCAGCCGTTCTGGTGGCGCAGGCGTGTTCATGTCGCTGGCACCTTGTTCTGTTTCTGACGTCCTAGTAGTGCCCAGACCTTGGGCCTTGACCCACGAGAGAGCAATGCTCTTTTCTCCAGGGCAGTTTCCCCCAAGCGGGGGCGTGTCTTCACACACCACTGTAGAATCTCTGCTTTATTAGGAGAAAGCATGAAGAGAGGGAAGTGGACTGCAGGCTGAGCATGTGTGTTTCCCTCCCTCCCTCGCTTCCCTCCCCCTCCCTCTCCTTACCCCGGGAGGACGCAGCAGAGCTGACCTGGAACCTCCCCTCCCCCCCGTAGCTGTTTCACCCTGATAGAGGCTGAATCGTGCCCGCTCCTTGCCCTGCCCAGGGCTCGTGGAGGGCTCGTGCCCACCAGCCACCTTGGTCCCACGCCCCCCTTCCTCCCCAGGTAACCTGGGTTTCCCCCTGGGGTCTTGCGTGCCAGCTCCGCGCAGGGGGCCTCTCCCCTGGGGTCTCGCGGGGCTGGTGTCTGGGATCCCGTGGCGTGGTCCCTGTGTAGGTGTGTCTTGCTCTGTCCCCGGTCCCTTGGTGCCCTCCGGATGTGGCCGCGTGTTCGTTGAGTCTCCCGTTGGCTTTCCACTGCCGACGGCTGGTTCTGGCTTGGATGGGTGTCGGGGACCCGCTGGCGGGTCAGCTCAGAAGGAGCTGTTTGTCCTGTGCTGGGAGTTAGTAAGATCTTGTTAAAAGAAAAAAGCCCAAGACCAGGAGTAAGGCTGGAGTCTCCACAGCCCGGGGCCACCCCGCCGCACCTGCGTGGCATCTCGTAGCCGAGCTGGGCCTGAAGGTGGGCAGCAGCTGCTTCTAGGGACCCTTGGAGCATGGCGGGTGGCCTCGTGCAAGCCCCGGCGCTTTAACCCTTCATTGTCGTGCAGTCTCCCATCTCCACACAGTGCCAAGCCCCGTGCCAGGACCAGCCGCTCGCTCTCGAGTGTGAGAACCTGGCTGGCTTGGCACCATGGGCCCAGAGCAGACGACACTAATCTACCTCAGCAGCCCCTGCGCCTCCCTGCCCCCGGTGGTGCACCTGGGTGCGATGCCAGCGGGGGTGGTGGCGGGAGGAGGCCCCGTTCATGGGTGGAGGGGGTCTCTGCTGCCTGTGCTCCAGAGAGTGAGTGAGGGGAAGGTTTTTACCCTCCAGGCTCTGATAGCTGTGCTGTAAATAAGCTAAGGAAGGGGCGGTTCTGGGGGAGTGGGGAGGGGCCGCTGTCTTCCGCTCTAGTCGGTCCTAGCCCAGCACGTGTTCCTGGCCACCAGTCCGAAGTGGTTGCTGAGAACCTGGCCTCCTCCTGTTCCCGGCAGAATTTGCACAGCTGGAAGCCAAATGATACCTGTGCTCACTCTGGCCACTGTCCCACGGATCTCCCGACGTCCTGGGACACTGGGCCGGGCACCCGGCGTAGGGGTGTGCGGGGTGCGCTTCTGGCTTCCTTTGGGCTCTTCATTCTCAGTCCCCCTGGGCCTTTCCAAGTGGCAGATGAGAAAATGGCGGAGGCCAAGTGCCTGGCCTCCAGAAAGTGCAGAACGTAGCTCCAGACGGCATAGGTGCTCCAGCTGCGCTGGTGGCTGGGCCTGGGTTTCTTGTTTCCGCCTAGGAGGGGAGTCGGGACCAGCTTCCTCCCCTTCCAAGGGTCTTGGTGTCCCAGGTGGCTGTGTCGTATCTGCAGGAGGGCCGGGCCGGCCCTGCCCTGCTCCCCTCTCTGGGTCCCCTGGCCAGCGCTGCTGTGGACAGCAGCGTCGAGCCTGGCGGGCCCTGCACGGCGGGCGGGCGCCCTGTGCTCGGCGCTCCTGGTTCTTTTGGTGTCACAAGTGCCTTCCGTGGCCGCGGCCTTGCCTTGTGCTGTGTGGCAGGCTGCCAGCAGGCCCGGGCTGCCACCCTTCAGTGAATAGGAAAGGGACACAGATGGCCAACTCCACCTCGTGTCCTGACGCCCCTCCCATGTGCGCACAGCCGGGGCGCAGCGGCTGCTCCCTTCCTTCTGTTTCTTGCCTGGCGGGGTGGTTAGGGAAGCCTGTGAGACGGCTCGCCCGCAGACACCTGTGCCTCAAGGGTACTAGTGCGCATGCTCCCCGGCCTCTTCCGGCCTCCTCTCCCTTCCCCACCCTACTACATCCTGGACTCCATGCAGAAGGCACCCTGCGCTGACCTCTTCCCATCCATTCTGCCTCCTGTTCAACAAGCAGTGTGAACAAGGCGTGTGCTCTACTTCCCTAGTCCCTGTGTGAGCGAGTGGCCTGTGTGGCAGAGGGCCTGGGCCGTGGTGGACAGCCACGTCTCCCAAGCCAGGGTCACCTTGTGTGGGCAGTAGCTCCCCCCACCCCGGCCTTCCGGCCTGTGCAATAACCCTCCGGCCAGTGGTCTTTCCCACGGGCCTGGCTGTCACCTGCGGTGCCCTGCAGTGGGGGAGGGGACGGGGGGGGGGAGTTGTCACCCTACACACAGGCCAGCCCCTTCCCTTGGTTGCTGCCATTATCCTGACCCTGGCTGGTTCTGTGGCCCTCTTGTAAAGCATGTAGAATCTTAGAAGTCTTATGTTTTGTGTTTGTTATTGTTTTAAAATCGGTTGGAAAAGAAGAGAGCCATCCACAGATGGGATGTCGGGTGGTGTCTAGGAGTGAGACTGGCCGTGATGTCTGTGCGACACCATCACTGAGAGCATTCCAGAGTTCCTGGGAGAGGAGGAGGAGGAGGTTTTCCTGTCTCTCAACAGGACGGGCTGTGGGAGTGCCACCCCGGGCTGGTCACACCAGTGCAGTGCTGGAACTAAACCTCTCTGTTCAGATCCTCTGTTTAAACTGGGTGGAGGCTGCCGGTGCCCTGAGCAACTCATAATGCAAATGTACACAAATTGTTTTCTTCTTTAGCCTGTTCTTGTTATGGACCAAATTTTAACAAGGAACTCAAGGAAAATTTGTACCTGCCGTATTTATGCTTTCGTGTAAAAGGGTTGGGGGGAGGGGTGTCTTTTTACTTTCTGTGAACTTTTTTCAAAGTCCTTTTCCCACTTTCTGTCTGGTTTTAAAAACAAATTACAGTTTTGTATGGATTTTTTAAAATGTACATTTTGAAAAAAATGATCAAATATTTTCTCAAATACCTGAATAAAAGGCATAGAATTATCCGTCTTAACTGTCTCTGATATAATTCCTTGACATGCTTTTATATGATGTATTTTAGTTTGCATACTTCATGTTCTCTTACTAAAATTTTTCACTAGTCATTTATTTTTCTCCCCTCTCCCCTCCCTCTCTCTCCCCTCCCCGCTCTCCTCCCCCTGTACTGGTGCTTGAACTCTCAGCCTCACATTCTCTCTTGAGCCATAGCTCTGCTTCTGGCTGTTTGCCCAGGTGTGAGCCACCTGCACCCAACTTCATTTCTAAGATTTCTTGACACACAGTTGTCCATGCTAGCAATGTGAATCGGGGAACTGGACGGAAGGATGGAGAGTGATCTTGACCTGACAGTAAAGCGGGAAGAGGACCTTGCTCGTGGGGCCTGCGCAGGGCAGTTGGGGAGGAAGCCCTCTTGTTTGATGGCTGCTAGCATGTGATGCCATTTAGCTTGCAGAAGGGGCTGTGCATGCAAGGCCCTAGGGGTGTGGTGTGTGCTGACTGGAAGATGTCCCAGAATTAGTAACAAGGGTGGCAGAGGGCATTGCTGATGTCATGGAGCTGGCCAGCGGCGACCTAGTGGCAGCTTGTCCAATGGCGCAGGAGAGGAGTAAGTTACAGGTGGCAGTCACCCCCACCTGGGAATCGGCTGTTTGCCTGAGGTGGCGGTGAGTGGTCCTGGCAGATGGCGGGCTCTGGTGTGGGCTTGGGCTGGAGTCGTGCTCGGCGGGGCTCTGCCGGGTGACCGCTAGCTGCGAACCGTCAGCCTGTTTCTCAGGGATGGTGAGTGGAGAGTCAGTGGCTAGGATCCTGGTCCAGGTGACACGGTCAGTGAGTTGGTTCTTAAGTGAGCACGCCTGTGTGCAGCTGGTGTTCAAGAACCACGGGCCCGCAATTCTCTAGAGGCGTGCACATAGTGACCCTGTACCCTTAAAGCCTATAGGACCCACGCACCCATCACGAGGCCCTCTAGCGGTGCTGCACGCTGGGTCCAGGCAGGGCTGGGAAGTGGTTAGCAGGCAGATATTATTAGCCCTAAGCCACCTGCCTCCTATCAGCCTTGGACGCAACCTCAGAGGGGTGCCGTGGCTGTGGCTACCGTGTAGCGCAGATGGCACTGCTTCACGTCCCTAGAGGCTGTTTTGAGAGGCTGGGCGTTTCTTCTCGCAGAGCGTGGTGCTGGTGGCACCCCTGCTGTGCAGGCCAGCCACCGTGGCCGGAGACGCTGAAGGGCTGCGTGTAGGGTTATGCTAGGAACGTGATTTGTGTGAAGTAGCAGGTGGAGCAGAGGGGGCACTGCCCAGGAGCGGCCGCGGTCCACCGGGCACCTCAAGCCTGTGAGGGCTGTCCCGTCTCAGTGTGGAAGGGGCGCAGGGTGAGGGAGGCCTGGACAGCCAGCACAGGGAGTAGGTGAGCCTTGCCAGCCTGTGGCGACTGGCAACTGACAGTGGGCTGCCAGCACTTGGATCTTGAAGGTGAGTAGAATGTTGGTTCAGTGAGAGCTCATGGTGGCCAGGAAGGACTAGTGTCTAGTTCAGGAATGGAGGCAGGGAAAAGCCATGTGTCCGTTTGAAGGCAGTCAGGCCAAAAGATGCTCTCTTATTCTGGGGAGGGTCAGCTTCCCCGCCCCCCCGTTCAGCCTTCAAATGAGTGGGTGGAGATCACCTACTCCAAGAAGGAGAGTGTGCTTGACTTTGTCTGACCGGTTCAAATGTCACTCTCATCCATGAAACCTGCCCACCCCATGGCACAATCAAGGTGATATAAAATCAGTCATCAAAACACACCTACCACCACAAGTAAGGTACAACCTTAGGTCCTACAGAAAGCAAGTTAATGTAGACTTCAGGACAGTGAGCATTAGAGCAAAAAATACGTTTATATGTAACCAGAGCACTGCAAATGCCTTTGGAAGCATGCAGGGTGGGCTTCAAGTGTAGGATCAGTGTTGAAAGTCTGTATGTCACCAGCCCATCAATTTGAGAAAATACGAATGAAGCTGCAGTAGTCAATCTTGCTGTCTCCGTGAGAGCACATCTTGATTAACTGTGGAAGGAATGAGAGCTAAGGCCGTACCATTCTGCGGCTTTACTTCAGCTCAGCTACAGAGCAACCTTGTGTGTCACCATCCCCAACTTCACGTTCTACATCCCAAGGCTCCTGGAAGTTTGGATGGCAGACCTTTCCCCCGTCCCCTAGTGGAACCAAAGCTGGGCAGAGTACGTGGCCTGCCCAAGATCCTAGGACTAACAGCCATATGTATGGGGCATTGCCATTTTTCTAAGCACTATCATTGTCTTGATACTCAAATACAAGAGTTGTCTATGAGGAAATAAGACTTAAATAACAGGCTTCCGTTATCGTAGCCTAATGGAATCTAGCTGGGTGACTGCAGCAATCGTCAGCTGTGGTTACAGTCTACGAGCTGCAGACCTGCCTTGCTCGCGGCGGGTCCTTGTCTCAATTCCCACTGGCTGCCGTCCCCTCCCACGGCCTGAAGACAAGCAGTGATGCTTGCTGCCAGGCCAAGGGTCTGGGCTCGCATCGCCTCCCTCCTGAAGAGGTCTGCAGAACCCCGCTGCCCTCAATTGGGCCTCGACGGGGAGGCTTTGTTCTAGCTTCCAAGGCAATCCTGGCCAGTGCAGTTCGCCATCAAGGAAAGGCATGGCCCTCCTTAACTCCCTCAAGAAAACTCTAGAAGAAAATCTATCGTGCCTTCTCCCCATTTGCAATGGGCTTGAAGGCAGGCTTCAGAAGCTCTTCCTTGCTGGCCCTCCTGACGGGCTAAGGTAGGTGTCAGCTGCAAAGGGCACCAAAGGCTGCCGGCCATCAACTTAACGAGGGTCCCTCCTGGGCAGCTGCCCTGCGTCAGCCCCAGCGTGCCGGCCTATCAACCACGCTATGCTGCCCAGTCCCAACCTGCTTGAAGAGATGCCCTGCTGTGACAGAGAAGACTGGCATTGCTAGAACCAAGGGGAATGGCACCGCGGGGCGCGCCAGGAGATGTGAAAGGCGATGGTCCAGCCTCTGCCGTCAGCCCCGCAGGCAGCGCTCACTGACCTCTTTGACCAAGTAGTCATCTACCGGGATGTCCAAAGACTTGCAGATCTTGAAGAACAGCTCTTTGTCCACACACCCTGTGCCCTGCGTGTCATGCTTGTGAAACTCTTCACAGATGCTGTCTTTGCCTGGGTGGTCTTTCAGTTGCTTCTGGAGTGTTTCTATTAATGCTTCCATTTCTTGTGGGCTGAATTCCTCTCTAGCTTGCTCACTGTAGAGCAAGGAAAGAAATGGTGGTTTTTTGTTTTTGTTTTTGTCAGTTATGGGGCTTGAACCCTGGGGTCTGGGCACTGTCCCTCAGCAATTCAGCTCAAGGCTAGTGCTCTACCACTTGAGCCACAGTTCCACTTCTGGTTTTCTGGTGGTTAATTGGAGATAAGAGTCTCACGGATGTTCCTGCCCCAGCTGGCTTTGAACCACAATCCTCAGATGTCAGCCTCCTGAGTAGCTAGGATTGCAGGCGTGAGCCACCAGTGCCCGGCACTGAGATGAATCATCTCATCTCAGTGTCTGGTATGAAAATACATGCACGATGCAAAACAGCCCACTTCCCCATCTCCCAGCCCACCCAGCATCCCTGGCACCTACCCTCTCCTGCAGTATTCTCCTCCTGGTCCACTTCAACCCACCAGCCAGGCAAGCCCTATGAACGCATGCCAGATCTTGCCACACCTCTACTCAGAAACTCAGCAGATCTGTTTCATTCCTTCCCGGGACCGGGTGGGTCCTGTAGGGCCTGGCCCTTGTTAGTCCTTGTGGGGAAACCTTCACGGTCCCATTCCTCTCTTCCGTCTGTCACCCTCACCTGTCTCTTCTTGCCAATGTGGGTGCTCTAGGCTGGTTTACCATGGCCCAGGGCATTTGCCTTCACCATTCTCATTTGTGACTCCTTTCCCTTCAAGTGTGTGCTCCAGGCCACTGCACCTGGGCTTCACAACCCATTGCCACCCTCCAGAATCCCTGGGCACCCAACTGGGCTTCACCGCCAGGGCAGGGGTCACCCCACAGGCTGTCTTGTTTACTTCTGTGTGTCCTGACTACCGCCCGCTGCTGAAGGGAACTCACGGAGGGCTGTGACTGCTTGACATTCAATCATTGCTGGCTAGACTCTACACCACTGCTTAGCACGCTGAGCCCAGGGGACACTGCGTACGTGGGGAGGGAAACCGGAAGTGGAAAATGTGGTAATCCATGTGTGATTGCTAAGCATGCCTTCCTAAATATCTTGCACATCTCAGAGTCAAAAAGGACCCTAAGGCAGTCCAACCTACTTTTCCACGACGGGTGCGGAGGCCTCCTGCTTCTGTGTGTGGCTCTGGATGGACGCCAGGGCTTCCTGGGTGTACTGGGCGGCGTTGCTCTCCATGTACTTCAGCACATACTCGTCTGTGTCCAGGATGGTGAACCGGTGCCCAAACACTCGGGAGAGGGGAGCAGCACCCTTAGTTTAATGATGTTTCTCTCATGCAGTCAGAAGTAAAATGCTATCAACCTTACAATGATACACCACAGAATGTTCTCAAGTTACACAAATTATTATGTTTTCTTCTCTCAAGGAAGTTCGTGTCAGCCTCTAACAAAAGCAACCAACTCAGTGCCAACATTTCAGAGTTTCATTGATAAGGAAGGCAATTCAGATACTAATCCAAGTATGTAAGCCTATTAGCTCTATCTCAGCTGTGATGCAATCTAACAAACGGATGAATGCTCAGCCAGTGGCATTCAGCTGTGCTGAGACTTACCATCGATGACCGCCCCGATGTAGAAGTCACTAGGGCTGTAGTAAACGGGGCTGTCCGCAGTAGAGTTGGGCTTAATAATTCGAGTCCTGCCAAGGTACTTGCCTCCAATGATACCAGAATTTCGAACAGGAGGCTCAAAGATACTAATCATATCAGTGGCCAGAAAATAAGAGAAGATGAACCGGCGCTCTTTGTCTTCTGCAATGGGGGATT